GGACAAGAGGGATTTTGTGTAACAAAGGTTATCTGAGTCACTGCTAACTCTAATGAAATGCCGCTTGAAGCAAGGAAACGAGACTGGGTCACATCAATTTCCTACTGCTTGAAAGCAAGGATGAATATGAAGTGCGGGTTCTTCACTGACGACTGTTTCTATTTGTGGATAACATTGAGTAGGATTTGCGCAACCGAGACGCAGTAGATCGACTTTAAAACGGAAATGAACGCATTACGACGATGTGATGTGTTAGTTTGGCATCTACCGATGTTTCGATGGAGCTTGCTGCCTCCGAATTCAGCGTATAAAATGTTTATTTCATCCTGAAGATGGAGGTAGGAGGTTCATCCGAAACATCGGTCCATCGCAATCTGTAGTGTACGTTTGTCGACAATTTGGATTCTAAATGAAGAAATGCGTCATCAAGTTAAAGTGGGCGCTGTGCTTAATTAAGAGCCACACCGTGAAGACATATGAGGGAGTGGAGGTACAGCTCCACCATTCATCTCGGCACAAGATGGAAATGAGTGGTCAGCTTCATGCTCCGGCCGTCTTACCCCTGGGAAAGAGCCCTCCCCCCCATCGCTATCCACTGGATAGGAGGCTGGGTTGGGCCCCAGAGCCGGTCTTGAAAATGTGTTCAGTGGAGTCAAACCTCTTGCACCTGCCAGGAATCCATCTCCGGTCGTTCAGCCCGTAGACCGTAGCTGTATCGTCTGAGCTATCCCGGATCCCTTATAGTTAACAATACGTAGCAGTAACAGCGTTATATGGGCCGTGCCATAGCTCAAGCGGTTAGTCGCTGGCTTCCCATCGCAGCGGCCCGGGTTCGATCCCGGGTCTGGTCAAGTGGGATCTGTGGTGGACAAAGTGGCGCTGGGGCAGGTTTTCTCCCAGTGCTTCGGTTTCCCCTGCCAATCTTCATTCCACCAATCGCTCCACAATCACCCTCACCTATCATCTGGGGCTGGTACAATAGGCCAGAAGTGGCCGCAGTATAAGGGATTAGTCCCACCCCACTAGCAATAAAGAAAACAGCGTTAGGCCTATATTCTAGCCGCTTAAACAAAAAACTGCTGATGTTCTTGGAGGTCTGGAAAACAAGAACGTGGAAATATTCATTCATAAACACAAAAGAATAGGAGACAATGTATCGAAAGGGTGAATAACACTATGAGAGAGAAAGCAAATTGTTATTTATGGGTAAGAAGCGGAACAGAAAGAGACAGAAGTAAACACATTACTGACGCCAACTGCTTGATATGATGGTGGTGCTGATGCTGCCGATAATAATAATAATAATAATAATAATAATAATAATAATAATAATAATAATAATAAAGGTAAGGTAAAAAGTAAAACTATCCTGGTAACAGGCCGTGGAGGCCAATACGATTGTGAGACGTCGAGGCTCCCAAATTTTCTAGCAAATCGGCTCACAGATGGCGGTGAGGTTGTCAGCCTTACGCAGATATTTTTGGTACACATTTCTGTTAGACGCTGAGTCGATCCCAGGGCCATAGTGCGGCTGTAAGGAATAGGTCAACGGAAAAATCCAATTGCCCCATCGGGAATAGAACCCGCGACCCTCTGGCTTGTAGCATAGTGATTCAAAGCTACCGTGTGTCCGCAATAAACATGCAGATATTTACCAATATTTTTCTTATTATTATAATTATTATTTTATCTACAAAAGTTCCTTCGAGCTGTAATTACTGGGTGGAAAGTACAAAATACACGTACGAGTACTTCGACTTTGAGACTGGTCCCAACAATGTCTTAAGATCAGAATCTGCATGACTATTGCTGTGCAGCGCTAGTTAGCGACTTAAGCAATCCTTCATTCAGTTGACAGTGTCCTTATAGTTGGTGGGTATTGCTAGAAATTACCTGACTCCACGGAGGAGAGTCCGTCTTGAGAAACTAATAGTTGCTTAGCTAGGCAACAAATTCGCAGCCGTTTGTGGGGCAAAAATATTCATTATGATGTTCACAATAGCCTGCAGCTGGAACCTGTCCTCGTTAAGATGAATGAAGTCCAGGCCCTAAATTTTAAGGTCAATATTAATATTGTCCTTGCATATAACCCCAAGTCCTCCAAGCGGCATCTTCTCTCCACGTTTTCGGCCAACATTAGGTGTGCATTTTCGTAATTCCGAAGGGTGGCATATATCGTGTTCGTCTAGCCCTCCATGAGTTTGTTATTTTAATGGGCGATTGTATCCAATTCGCCCTTCTCAGGAGCGAATATACTTCTCAGTTCCCTGTTCTTACACCCTGACCTTATGCCCGTCAATTTTAATGTATGTGGCCAAGTTTCACATCTGTTTTAACCCGCAGTACAGTTACACTTCGTTAAATTAATCTTTACGTCTTTAAAGATAACAGAGCAAAATGTATTTGTGCAGAGCTTTTTTATGCGGTTTCACTACATCTGTTCACAGTGGAGCGACGCCATCTTCCCTTCAGAGTCACGAAAAAGTTCCACTTACATGAATGACAACAGACGAACTTTTTGAATTGTCTGCACATAGTTTCATTCCACTGTACTTCTTGTCCCGTCATAAACCAAGTTTCGGGTTTCCTTGCAGTTCAGAAGACCTGCGCAATCGTGACAAAACAACGGGGAGAAACTACGAGTAAATGAGACGGAAGTGACACATTTCTCACAGTTCTGACTCCTACTTACGGGATTATAAAAATTGGGTTGCCAACACTTCATCATCTTAGGCAGAAAAGATGGCTGATAGAAATTCACAGACCTTGAAGCAGATATGCAATGAACTGTTACGATAAAATAATTTCTTTCATTTTAAACATTTCGGCTGTTGGAGAACTAAGCATGTGGCATTACATATATTTTAAATGAAGTGTATTTTTGTTTCTATTTCCGGTAGTGTATTCAAAACAGTGCCAATTTAATTTGGGGAATTTTAATAATCTCATTCCTAACCGATTTTGTAAATCATGATTATTGGTATATTAACATTATTGATTGAATAACTCAACAGATACAGTAGAGTATTTGGTGCCAGGGAAGTTTAGTCCTTGAACGTTTATGTTCGTTACCGAGCGGAAGCGAAGACTGAGTTAGCGTCAGAGTTAGAATGGCGTAAAGAAAGATTCACTCTTCCATTTCTAACACTTTGCACACCACGGACGAGTTGTATTGCCCTACAACCGGACTTTCATATCGGATATAATTTAAGTATAGCATTACCTCTCATAAACAACCATAGAATCCTTGAAGATCTACAAATGAACACAGCGCTCAGTCAAATAAAAAAGTGGGTTACCGAATATTTGAGAAAATCAGAAAACCACAGAAATGCACTAGCAGTGACAATAGCGAAACTACAAGTAGACTGAAAAGATACACCGTCCTAACTCTACCAGAGATACCTGAGTAAACCCCCAATACAAGGGAAAAAAAATGATACCGAAGTGAACAAAAGAAATTATGATTTATGCCACTGGGCATAACCCACGCACGAGTCAGTACTTATTGAACATATACATTTATTGGAGATTCTGCAGATTGGGTAAGATAAATGTGTGAACAAACATTATCGCTTATCTTCAGATTTTAAAGATAGCCATTGTTAAACTCGAACTGACTTCAGAAGCTACCATAATAATACCAAACGAAGTGTGACATTTCCTTTATAATCTACGCATGTTAAGGTGCTAGGCTCAGCCTGGGAACCTTAGCAATATAAATATTGTTCCTTATTCCATGCTGAATTAAGTAGAGTGCGAAGCTACAGTGAAGGAGCACTACGCCTTCGAACCTCTCTTCAATTTCATAGGAAAATAAGATTTTCCTTATGAATAAAACCACGCAATAGGCCTCAGCAACCACGGCAAGATCTCTCACGAAATCATATGAAATTCACGTTATGAAACTCCAACGTGATGTATTTTAAAATATTATCTAGTTTCTGGGCGCCAGGAGCCTGATATATGATAGTAAAAAGATTTAGTTCGATATCTATGGATATGGTAAAGTAAGTAGAAAGTAAAGGTGTCCCTGTAATAGGCCGTGGAGGCCCATAGGGTTGTGAGAAGTTGAGGTTCCCACATTTTCTAGACATTCGGCTCACAAATGGCAGTGAGGTTGTCAGCCCTACGCGGCGGCCGCCCTTTACCCTCCAGAATATCCTAGGAAGATTCCTGGTACTCATTTCTGTCAGAGGCTGAGTCTACCCCAGGGCCATAGTGCGGCTGGAAGGATTAGGTCAATTGAAAATATCCAATGATCTCATCGGGATTCCATCCCGCGACCTTCCGGCTTGTAGCAAAGTGCCTCAATCAACTACGCTACCGTATGCCCCATATGGATAGTCTGTTTAATGTGAGATCTGACTTTCCTTTGTGACGCTGTACAGTGTGGTACCTCTTTACAAAATTACACAAGCGTACATAAGTTTCTTTTCAAGTATTAATGCTGAAACGTAAAACTATGCTTTGTTGCTTTAATCTGTCCTCCCAATTCGAAAAAATTACATTTTTAAGAAAGCTGTCTATCCCTTTTCAATCCATGGAAACGGTTTTTCGTGAAGGTAAGATTTTATAAAATCGAGCGATAGCGTAGTTTGTTGAGGCACTATGCTACAAGTCGGATGGTCGCGGGTTCAAGTCCCAATGAGGTCATTTGATTTCTTTCAATTGACCTAATCCTTCCAGCCGCACTATGGCCCTGGGAACGACTCAGCCTCTAACAGAAATGAGTACCATGAATCTTCATGGGGGTTGAAGGCGGCCGGCGCGTAAGTCTGACAACCTTACCGCCATTTACGAGCCGACTGTCTAGAAAATGTGGGAACCTCAACATCTCACAACCCTATGGGCCTCCACGGCCCGCTACAGGGATAACTATACTTTTTTACTTGTACGGATTCCAGAATGATTGAATCATTACAATGTGCCCAAGAATGGACATTGCTTTCTTCAACTGTTAATCTTACTGATGGGCGTATTTTTTTCTAAATACTTACCTAGATTATTATTTTCTTGTGCATCATTACATCTTCCAACGACCCTGATAATGGCTCTTCCTGCCATGCGCGTGCAGTGCATGACTGCAGGTAAGTTTGGTTCATTGTTGGCTTGATTCGTGATGTCTGCTCCGAACTGTGGTGGCCTCATCTTGGATTCTTTGTGCTACGAACTGGCTGGCAAATATATCTCAGTTTTCCTTTGTTTCTCACGAGATATATGTCACTCCGGTCGCAACACTACACCAGACACTTTCGTGAAAACCTTTCAATTCTGTCACGCTGCTTTGTTTATATACCGATATCAGCTGTTTTAGCTCCCACTCTTAAACACAAAGCTTTGACATTACTCAACGCATGCGCATGAGACATTTGCGCATCGCAGTAGTGCGAAAGTAGTCTAGGAAGCGTGACGTCATCAGCAGTACAAGGTGAATACGAAGAAACAAAACAGCTGCTTGAGCCGATTTTATTTGTTGCCAACTGAACATCGCCATGCCAACAGACATTTTACCTACGTTATAAACTCTGTTTTATTTTAGTTTCTGCCTACGGAAAGTAACTTCCGGCTGCAACAAAAGAAAACTGGGCACCGATCCTCGCGGGATAGGAACAGTCAGAAGACATGTGTCAACATCAAACTAACACAGTGAACTGGGTGCGCTGCATCATCTGAATTTCGTCGATTATAAAAGGTGACTGACATTCCTCGTCGAAACAAATGGGCATATCCATTCAACTCCAGAAACTCTTTTATTTTCTACTTCTCCAATTTTTATTGATGCTGCCACATTCAGCCTGTGACAGACACTACGGCGACACGACTGGAACTGAGGGCGGTTCATATCGTAGGAACGAGAAAGCCACTCCGGGTAAAACTGAGATCTCAGAATCATGTGAATGTTCATATGTAATGTTCAAACAATGGAAACCCCATCTGTCTCAATGAAAGCGGACAAGGCTCCACTTTACTCAACAGATCTTTTGACTTTCCTCCATCTCACATGGCCTCGGGCGGAGATGAAACGGAAAGTGGTCTGTATTTTTACTTAGGCCCAGGTTAAGAAGAGAGGGACTGTTTGATTTGCAGGACAGTAAACAAGAAGTTCTAGATAGACCTAATCGCCTAGTTCCATTTGGTATGACGGACCGCATAGAAAACAAAAAATTGTAAGGGGGAAACACAGAGAGCAAGGTTTTGTCATAAGCAGGGCCCGGATTTTGATGACATGTCATCTTTCTTTCCTTGTATCCTATGCGATGCTCTTAAATATATAAATCTCGGATATGAGCTGCTGGTTACAGAAATGTAAATTTTATAGGTAATATTTTGTCATTTTTTGACATTTTTAGGTTTAAGGTAAATTTTTTTTCCATTTTTTTGGTAGATTTTTGGGCTTTTAAGGGTATTTCTTGCGATTTTTGGCCATTTTAAGGAAACTTTATTCATATGTTTTCTGAAATGTGAATAATATGGAAGCGAAGTGTTCCTTCTCTTTCTCCTTTAGGTCATTTTTCTCGATTTTTTTGTCATTTTATGGGTCTTTTTTTTTTAATATTTTCAGGTCATCAAAATCCGGGCCCTGGTCATAAGCCTTCTAACAAAAATTTAGGTGGGGGGGTGGGGATTACAGATATATATATATACTAAAGTGAAAATTATGGGAATATAAAGACGGATGGACAGACATGGACGGATATAAAAACTGACAGCAATGTTATCTCATAAGCCTCCTATTATTTTCTGAATAAGGAAAGTAGACTAAAATTAAGCGCCATAGAAGTTTTGCTTTCAAAGCTTCAGACATGATATTACTCGAATTCCGCACCTGCTACATACAGATAGAAGACCCCAATAACATAGCTGCAGAAAATCGTGACGTGAAGAACAAATTATTTTTTTCCACATTTTTAAAAAGTTGTATTCATATAACATTTCTTTGTTTAAACGTATAACCATGGCGACGGTACGCAAATTGCGAGGCTATGTTTTCACGATTACATGACGAAAGCAGTGAGTAGTAGCGTTGCTATTAGCTCTGTAGTAGAACTATTCTTTATGAAAAAATTACATTTGATTCTCACGTAGGTCTAATTTTGTTTCTGTAAAATCTCCAAATCTTATTACAAAACAGTCTCTGTTTGTGATATTCTTGTTTGCTTCTGGCACTCCTACTACACCATCCATAGGAGGTAAAAGGCAAAGTTATTCCTGTAACAGGCCGTGGAGGACTACACGGGTGTGAGACGTCGAGGCTCTCACATTTTCTCTAGACAATCTGCTCACAGATGGTGATGAGATTTTCAGCCTTACGCGCCTGCCACACATTTACCCCCAGGAAGATTCCTAGTAATAATTTCTGTCAGAGGCTGAGTCGACCCCAGGGCCATAATGTGGCGGGAAGGATTAGGTCAACTGAAAAATTCAGTGACGTCATCGGGAATCGAACCCGCGGCCTCCCGACTTGTAGCATAGTGCCCCAACTACGCTACCGCGCGCCCCCATCATACGATCCCTAAGGTAGCATAGCCTTTGTTTTCGCGTTCGCGTCCTCTGGACAGTATTAATTTCACAGGGTGTGCACTTTTGTTTGAACAGCCACCCCAGAGCCTCATACCCACTAATGGTCCGCTAGTTCTGTGCTAGTTTCACAGATGGAAATCTAGTTGAGTAGATTTGCTGCTGATACAGCATTAACGAACACGTAACGCCCGATTACGTCGTTAGAACGTTTTGGAAGTGAATAACATTTCGAGAACATTTCCAAACGACACTAAGGAGCGTTTCTATCTTCTTCAATATAATGCCATGTAGTCCGCTGAGAGTCAATTGACGTTTCGGAGGAACATGTCACCACAATCCTCAGTGTCGAATAAGCCAAGCAAGGAACCAATGACATGTTCCTCCGAAACGTCGTCTCATTTTCAACGGATTACACGGCCTTATATCCCAGATGATCGAACTCTACATCCTGCACTGGAGTCCTTTCCACACATCCTAACCTGATATTACTGACAAAACTTTAATAAAGTCCGTGCTTTTCCGTTACTGATATATGCCAGACCTGAGAATGGCTACAACTTCATGAGGTGAAGCCCCGCCCTATGTATTGCCCTGTCGAGGCTCACATTCATTCCAAAATACGCCAATCTTCATTTCCGTCCCGTTACCTCCAAAACTCCGGAGCCACGGGTCTCTCTGCATACTTCCCCAACCACAGCATAGAAAGTTAAGCGACATTTTGCCTGGTCAGCACATGGCTGGGTAACCGCTCGCGAACATCAGTTGCAGTTGTGTGTGTGCATTCTGGGGCATTTTAAGGGCCTTTCTAGAGGCATCAGTACTATCCCTACTAACCCCCCCGCTGTTTTCGAAGCATGATCCTTCTACGTATATATGCACAGAGACTCATCGACGTTATATACTTTGAACCTGAAGACGGAGGCAGCATGTACCTCTGAAACGTCAGAAGCACTGGCGGCATTCATCGTGTAACAATCCAAGAGCCGAATTAACTTCAGTGAAAGCCTACAGGCAGGCAGGCTGGCTGGCTTATTCCGTTGCGTCAAATGGAAATGTTCTAGCGGCATAAAACAAACTCGGGTTTAATAACTTCTGCCTGCAGGTTCCTGGCACCGCGAGGCAAACCAAAAGGCCAGAAAACTTCGCAGTTACGTTTTCTATTTCTGGAACGTCCGCTGCTTGCCAAATGCAACTTGGACTCAATACTTTACCCATGTGTGTTAGTGCGTTGCCTTCCTTTGTACTAATCGCTCGCTTTCTTGTTAACAGCCATGGAACCTGCTCTCGGAGCAAAGATTCTGTAGCACATATTGAAGCACTCTCTCGAAAATCGAAAATCTGGTATAAAACTTTTCCTTTCCTAAAATTAGTTTCCTTTATGCTATGATATTTCTAAAGTGCGAAGCATCAGTTAGTACGATGATTGGTAAGGAAGGGTAGTAGTTCATTAAGTTTTCTTGGAGCGCCTGAGGAAAAGCGTACCCATTCTGGGAAGCCAATCTCCCGAATACTTGTATTAGGATATAAGAGCATGAGAAGTGAATCACTGCGCACTTCGTCATAAGTGTCTATAATACTATCAAGTGTATGAGTGACTATAGACGGGATTTCGATTGATGATCGGATTTATTGGGCTCTTTGATAATGCGCGTGACTACACTTTACAATTCACTATTACATACTCACACACACACACAGTGACCACAGTCACGTCTTCACTGCTGTTGCTTGGTAGCGGCTTCCAACGACGGACGTTCTCCATACTCTGGGTTCCCAAACTGCCCCCGGCCTCATCTACTAGCTTATAACAGCAACAGCGCACAAGAACTGAACCGCACCATTCCTTTAACTCACGCACTCGCTTAAAATCAAAGTCAAAGATATGTTACGACCAACGGCCATTCGGCCAGTCTGTCTTGGTGTCAAGCTGGGGCTCAAGACCAGATTTGTATTACTGCCAGACAGTTTCGGGTTTGTTGATGTTGGGCTCCCTCTCTGACCAGAGGACGGGTCAGTTGTCAAATTCACTCCCTCCTCACTCGTTCTGCTTATATCTCGGCACGGATATCACAGAAAACACTGTTTCTCTATTGCTGTTTAGGGGCAACTGTCTAGTAACAGCCGTTGTACAGAGTGTGTCCAGGTTCTGTTAGGTCTGTGCTCATTAAAAATACAAGACGTGAATTATTTCCAACATTTCACTCTTTTTATTCAAAAAGGTCTCCTTCTGAATCAATACATAGCTGGAATCGATTGAAAAGTTTTCGAAAACAGTCACTATACTCCTTTTGTGAAATCGCATTTAAAACTGTGGTACATTCCTTTTGGATGTCCTGGATGGTGTCGTGACGGTCTCCTTTCATCGCCAACTTAACTTTTGGGAACAACCAGAAATCTGCTGGAGCCAAATCTGGCGAATACGGAGGATGATCAAGGACTGTGATCCCTTTTCTGGCCAAAAAATTGCGCCGCACGATCTTCGATTTGTGGGGTGGGGCATTGTCGTGGAGGAGCGGCCAGGAACCTTGCTCTTGATACTCAGGTCGAATTGGAAGAATTCTCGCCAACAAACGATTGAGGACTCCGAGATAATGATCAAAATTCAATGTTTGACCTTCTGGCAGAAATTCCTTGTGAATGATTCCTTTGGAATCGAAGAAAACGGTTAGCAGTGTCTTTATTCGACTCTTTTGCATGCGGACTTTCTTCGGTTTCGGCTTCTTTGGGCTCAACCACGCTACACTCTGCCGCTTTGTGAGAGGCTCATGTTGAAAACA